ATTGATGTGTTAGGTATTCAAACTAAGCCAAGTGTTATAAACAACTTAAAATGATAACTCTATAAGAAAATCGCTTTTTAAGAACCCTTTCTTGGGCCCAACGTGGTAGCCTAGCGGCTAAAGTCCTCACCTTGCACGCACTGGGATCCCATATGGGCACCGGTTCTACTTTTTCTTTATTTAGCATTTTCTTTATTGTTTTCTTCATATATCTGATGAAAAAGGGGATTTTAAGGGAGAAATCACACCCAGTCTCCCACCCACCCCAGGTCCCAGATGTAGGGCTTGCTCCGAGGGTCTTGCTCAAGTGGTCTTGATAGTTCTACAGTTATGAATCGCTGCCAATCTCACCACTCCAAGCACAATGAGGTCGTTGAAGAATCCACTGATTGACATAGTCCATCTTAGAGACTCCATTTGCCCAGTTTTTCACTGCCAACATATAGCTGAGGTGTTTGATTGACTACTTCTGTCCTCTGTCTTTTCATGGTTAGGGTTCTGAGTCCGGCAGTTTGATTAGGGAGATCCCCAAAGAAACTTTGTCTGAGGTGTTCCTAGACCAGATTCTTGTATGTACTAGCAAGCACAGGGCCCGGCACAGTTCATCACCCCAATCAGTTGGTGGTTGTAATTGCTGGGTTGGTTCTGTTTCCAGCCCTGTCTTCCACTGGAACCAATGGGTGTTGCAGTCCAGCCTGGTTCTGTCCAGTGCATACTCAGCCCTCACACAAACCAGTGTGGGCTGCAGCCTAGTTGGAGCAACCCACAATAACCCCCACCAGGCCTGCCCTTGTGTGCCAGTATGTGTAGCATACTAGCCCAGTCTGTCCCACATCCTATTTGGCTCTCGTACATGTTGATGCATATTAAAGCTTAGTTCCATCTTACCAGCTCAACTATACAGCCCTCACGGATGTTCTTGAGTGCCTCTCTGTCTAGCCACCCCAGTCCCTGTCCTAATTTTTATGCCCTTCTGTGGAGGTGGTAACCCAAGAGGGAGGAGCCCACTATTGCCCTCCCAGGCCAGTCCCCTTCCCACATTATGCACTCTCCAGGTGGTTCTGTGGTTTAACTTGACAGAACTAGCCCCCAGTGCCAGCTTCTGCCAGCTGATGCTGTGGCTAAACCCACTCTAATTGTTTGCACCAGTTGGATCAATCAGCCCAGCTTGGCTTTTCCCTGATCTAGTCCTCATGAGGTCCACAGGTGTTGTAGCCCTGCCTAGTCTGGTCTGCCCCCATCCCAGCTCACGCTCTCCAGTGAGAGTAGCTGTCCAGCAAAGGAACCCTCCCTTATTCCCCTGCCATCTCCGCCCCCTCCCTTCCTTGTTCTCACACGTGTGCTGTTGGGTGCTGTGGTTACATCTGGCACAGGTAACTTCACCTTGGCATTCTGTGTTGTGTACTGCTTTTGTCACGACCGAACCTGGCTCAACCCACACTTTTCTGGTGCTTGGATTTGCCGGTAGATGATGTGAACTGATTCAGCCTGGTCTGCCCCCAACCCATGCCAAATGTATGCCAGTGGGACACTTTCTATTACCTTTTCTGGGCTGTTTCCTTTCGTGTGGGCACCGCTTCTAATCCTGGAAGCCCCACTTCCCATCCAGCTCCCTGCTTGTGGCCTGGAAAGCAGTCAAGGATGGCACAAAGTCTTGACACCCTGCTCCTGGCTTCAGATCTGCTAAGCTCTAGCCATTGCAGCCACTTGGGAAGTTAATCAGTGGACGGAAGATCTTCCTTCCTCTCTGTCTCTCTTCTTCTCCATATATCTGCTTTCCAATAAAAATAAATAAATCTTTAAAAAGAACACTTTCATTCTCTATCGTTCTCTCTTTTTGCGTTTATTTCTCTTTATTTGCAAGGCAGATTTATGGAGAGAGAGACAGAGAGGGAAAGATCTTCCATTTGCTAGTTCACTCTCCAAAGGGCTGCAACAACCAGAGCTGAACCAATCTGAAGCCAGAAGCTTCTTCTAGGTCTTGTGTGCGTACAAGATTCCCAGGACTTAAACCATCCTCTGCTGCTTTCCCAGGCCACAAGCAGGGAGCTGGATCTGAAGTGGAGTAGCCAGGACAAGAACTGGTGCCCATATAGAATGTTAGCACTTGAAGGTGGAAGATTAGCCTGTAAATCTTGATTGTATCTCTGGGATACAGTACTCATACTATAAAGCAAGAGTGATAGAAACTCAAGCAATAAGCTCAATACTGTAATAAATCCTTTGAGGATATTTACTGACCTGGGTGAACTTGGGTATTCACTTATGCCGCTTTTATGGGAATGAATGGCAAGCAAAGCCAATGGCTTCCCTAATAATGGAAGCTTAGTGAGTGTCCCACACTCAGTAAAGTTGGAACACAAAAGAACAGTACTGTTACTGTGAGGATGAATCAGAAATAAATCTGCATGCATCATACACAGGGCTTTCCCCTTAATATGTCAAGAAAAATCACCTGAATTAAACCTGGTGATAAGCAAAGCTATTAAAAAAATCCCCTGAGTATTTATTATCATAAACTGGTCCTCATTTATGCTTGAAAATTGAATTCCAGCTCTGTGTGGTGGCTTGACCTCCTTAAGCCAAGAGTGAATTTCAAGTGTTCCTAGACAGGTAGTACAAGCACCCTTGACACAGTAAATGGGAGTCTGGTTAAAGAATTTACATCATCTCTAGGTCTTAAAGTCCCAAAACACATGAGCAATTCATCAAAATTGTGTGTAAAGATATATGCAACACAAAAGGGGGAAGAAGATATCAACAGTGATATCAAGACAGAAAATCTGTACATATTTTGGAATTAAAACAGAAAAATGCTGAGATGTCTGCATTACGTATTTTAAGAGATAAAATGAGTCTTAAAATTATACATGAAAACCAAACACACTTAAAACAAAAATCATATGTGCCAGAACTTCTAGAAATGAAGCATGATTGAAATTAAGAACTGAATGTATGGGTTTAATGATGAATTAAACACAGCCACAAGAGAATTAATATACTGACCCTGAAGATGGATTCCAAAACAAATTCAGTGAATAAAAGAGAAGGCAAGTGTGTGAAGGAGATGCTAAAACACATGGCAACTGGTATAAAGAGAGATCTAAAAGAAGTCTAGTTAGGGTCTCAGAAGACAGGGTAAGTCAGTGGCAAATTCCAAAAGAGTAATGGCTGATCTCATAAAAGACCATTATGTAGAAAATGAGGAAGCCTAAAGACATCTCACCAGCATGAATCAAACAGTATTTACATAAACATATTGTAGCAGAATTCTGAGACAAAAAGAAAACAGTGAAAGAAGCCCTGGGATTGGTTGGCGCGAGGGATGCTGGGGAGTAAGTCTCTGGTGGCAGTGTCATAAATTGCAGAGTGCAAAATAATCAGTGGTGAACATATGGAAGCCACTGGACTTCTAAAGTTGTAACATGTGGGAAAAGAGTGAGAAGGAAGAGAAGGTAACCCATTGCACAGCATCTTCACCTCAACCAAAGTCAAAACTTGGTTGTCATGGGTGTGAGGCAGCTGTCCCATGAGGCTGTTGGCATGAATCTCTTAGTGAAGGGAAGATCCCAAAGAGATAGATGGTAGACAGCTGCAACCCCTGCACAATCTTGTGCTAGTTTCTCTCTCTCTCTCTCTCTCTCTCTCTCTCTCTCTCTCTCGTGTGTGTGTGTGTGTAACAGATTCACTGTTGGGGATGGGAGAAAGATATCTGTCCTCTCACAGAACAGGACAAGGGGACAAAGGGGACAGAAGAAATCTGGGTTAAAGTTATTCATGCTTTAAGCCCCCATGAAAACTTTTTCAACCACAGGAGTCAGAGGGAGTGAAAATCAAGTGGGCTCTGAGCCAAAATGGAAAAGGGTGATTTCTATAGAGTCTCAGTGTGACAGCTGAACAGTAGCTAAAGGATATAAGTTAGGAGAGAATCAGCCCTCTGGGCTGACCTAAAGCTAGACATTCATGCCATGGAGCAAGCTCCCTGCAGTCCTGCCATGTCTGCAGGCTTGGCTCCTGAGCAGCTGTGCAAGGTTGGGTGGTAGAAGAGTCGTATAATCAACTTGGGTGTGTCAGATGACACACCTTGGACTTGTGGACTTGCTATAGTTAGCCTGGATTTAAAGGCAAGAAAAGAGCAGTACAGAGAAATTAAGAAAGGTTCTCAAGGAAGTGTCAAAACTGGAGTTTGAATCCAGACCACCTCACTGCAGAATCAAGTTTTTCATCTTCATCATCACCATCATATCAAACTGTGACAAAGTGGATAGATTCCACAGTTAGCTGAGCCAGTGGTAGGCTCTGCCACTACAGGCAGAGTGCCAGGTGCATGGACACATTCTACCAGACAAGGTAAGGGGAACATTGCTTTGCTCCTTGCTGTGCACCTGCAGCTATTGCATAGTAGGTATGCAGTACATATTTGTAGAATGAGTAAAACCAGATGTATCACTACATACATATGATGCTCTCTCTAATCCTTTTTCAAGTCAGCAGGCTATACAAGCCAGGGCTGAAACATTTTAAATTGCTTTGTATGGGATGATGCAAGAGAGTGATCACTAATAGACCTGTAGGTAATGAAAAGATGTGCACACAGACCCAGAGTGTTAGGGAACTCTCCCAAGGTCATACCATCATAAGGGCTAGGATGATGTCAGAACAGCAAACAAGGAGAGAGAGAGAGAGAGTGCTTTAAGTTCAGCTGCAACCAATCAATTTGAAATGTGAACATCACAAAATCTAGATAAAATTTTTCCTTGTTCGTAATTTACATGTAGCTTATTAAAATATGATTACATCATGGGAGAGGTCACTTTTGCGGGTTGAGTCCTCAAACTATAACTATCTGAACTCCTGCCCTAGTGTGCAGAGTATGAACAAGAGTAACCATAGTGACTCTGTTTTGAAAGATAAAGTGGAGCAGTTCTGGCTAAGCCATATGGGAGCAGTGAAGGACTTACCAATCAAACACACACAGAACCAGAGCTCAGTGCCAAGAATAACTGAAGGGAGGACATATCAAAAGACACAGAGACTGCTCCACCCAACTAAAGGAGGAACTTCAGCTCAGGGCACCTGGCCAACTCTGACCCTAGGACTTGCAGGGGCCCACTTTTGATAACTAGAACTGCTAGAAGCACTCCGGATGAGTGACTTGGCAAGCAATCAGTTGTAAGGAACCTCCACCTCAACAGACTTGACATCCATCTGCCTGGTGCCTGGGACCTACCAGACCACAGACTCCTCTCTGCTATTTCTTCTTCTCACTCGATGTGAGTGATATGCAGTACTGCCTCTCCTTGTGCATTTGCTTTGATTGGTTGACTTGTGTGTGTTTGACAAGTCACTCTGACATTGTAGGAAGACACAAATGTGTGCGGTCACCTTCTTGAAAGAGGATATCTCTCCAGTACCCGTACATGCACTCATGGCATCCAGCAAGAACCAGATGCTGAACTCAGACTCCTTGCCTGCCAGTCACATATCACTAGGTCTGCCTTTTACCACATGGAGTGACTGTGTTGACTTGATTCTGAGGGTAATACTAAGGGAGGGGTGTGGCATGGAGTAGGAATGTGGATAATCAGATCCCAGCCCATCATTCCTTTTTCAAAGGACAGGGAAGCTATTGGACAAGGAAGAATTGGACTCAGTGGTCACATTCCTTATCCAGTCACATGTCCTTTCCTCTTCCCTGTGGCTCCTAGCACACCTTGTCCTCTTCCTGACTGCAGCAAACACATTCTACCCTGAAGTTTTAATCATGTTACAAGATTGCTATGAATCTAATCACGTTTCGTAGGCCATTATGATGCACTGCCTACTGGTAACTCAGGACCATGGTATTCTGCTACTCCTGAAGTATTTGTCAACATTCTTTTCCTTCCTTGTTTTTGAATTCTTCTTCTAGGAGTTTGGGTGGTAGGAGAGGATGAAAACAGCAGGACCCTTGTGTTTTGTTCCAGTGGCACATTGAGGGGATGGCGTTGACCCATCCTCACTCAAACTCAGCTCTAAGTTCAGCCATCCCAGAAGAAAACCTGTGCCGTCATTTGCTAACTGCCCTCCCCACCACCCGTGAATGACTATTGTCTTTTATTTAGGCTTTGTTTACAAAAATATGTGACCAAAGACAGGTGGAACCAGAGGTAAGTGCAGGTATTGTAGGGCCTGGAATTCATACAACTTTGAGCCATCTATATGGAAAAAAATGTATAATAAAATATAATTTCAGATTTGAAAATAAGCACAAGACTTTAGAATAGGCTTTAACCAATCAAGTTTCTTACACTACATGAATAGAAACATAAATTCATTATTATCTGTGACATTCACAAATGAACATGGGAGGACTTGTGATTTTCAGAAAGGAAGATGTAACTTTGTGACCGTAAATGAGTTATGAAGGCAAAGATTACACTTTCCTGTTTGTCAACAGTTAGTGACAGCACCTGCTGGTGGTGACTCGTCGGTACTGGCCCATGGATGATGGCATTTGTGTCTATGAAGAATCACATGGATAGCCATGTACTAGACAGGTGGGGTTACTAGAAAGAAAAGTGCTAAGGAAAGAGTCTGCGGTAGAAACAGTGGTGAACAAACTGGAAAAAGTCAGTTTGACTTTGTGGCAGAGGATGCTTAATAGGAAGAAAAGCTTCTGAGACAAGATGATCTGTGAACTGATGTGTTGAAAGGTATTTCAAGCACAGAGAGCAGTGTGAGTGGAAGCACGGAGCTTTTGAGCCATGTCGAGAGTTCATGGGATGGCAAGCAGTTTTGTAGAGGTGAAATGCAAAGCACAGGAGGACAAAGAGGGGTTTTTATCAAGAGGTTAAGGATGAAAGGCAAAAAAAGATGAAATATTAGACAGTTTATTGGAGTGCACTGTGAAAAGCCACTGGCGGCTTTAAAGCAAGGGAGAGTGTGGTGTGTGTGTTTTTGCAATATGCTTCTGGTCCTGGTGTGAAAAACAGACTTAAGATACTGGTAGCAAGACACTAAGGGCCTAGTTGAAATTGAGTAAGTGAAAGGTGGTGCGTGTCTGATCCAGTGGTGATAATGGTGATCAAAGGGCCAGGCAGATTATGGGAGATACTGAGAAGATGGCAGAGTTTATTGACTGATGGAGTCAACAAGGGCCAGGTTAAGAGAGAAAATCAGGGTAATGCTTCTTGGGGTGGATAGTGGAGGTATCAGGCACTGAGTAGAGAATCTAGGAAGAGGGGCAAGCTGGGAAGGCAAGGTGTCTTCTGGAGGTGTTGGATGCAAGATGTTGGAGAATCACTCAGGCAAATCTAATGAGCAAATACATTTAGGGTTGAAACAAAAGAGGTATTTGGAATCAAGTCTAGCTATAGATTATCTTTCATCACCCACAAATGGCAGAGGTTAACATGATTGCTGGTTAATTGGATTACCTGGGGAAAGGAGCACAGAGATTGGGGTTGGAATGCCAACTGTGAAGACAGAGGATTTTTACATTTGCTCCTTTGGAAATGTTGGGGTCCTGCCTTTGGGTAAAGTGGCACAGATGTTCCAGTGCCATTCTGAAGTACTCTGCAAATCTCTTTCTCTGTCCGGATAACAGACATAGGCCCACCTCCAGGTTAAGCCCTACTTTCTTTAGCAGGTCTCAGTGCCAATGAAACTTTGCCCAGAAAGGGTTGTATGCCATTGCCTTGTGTACTGCATTTAGCACACCTTGCCATTTACTGCACTTAGTTTCACTGATTGATGGATTGACTGGCCAGCTGATTGGCTTTTGCCTCTCATACCTTCCAAACTCTATGAGGCCACGGAGTTGGAGTTTTGTGTGTGTCACTCATTTTCTGCTGTCAGTAAATAGCTTCTGAGGTGGCAGCTGTGGACTTGAGTGGGTGTCTGCAGGTGACTGCCCCCAGGCAGAGGAGGAACCGGTTAGTTCATTCCTGGGAGCCCTCACACTGAGCAATATGCCTTTGGGGAGAACAGACTCTACTAAGGTATTTGCCCTTGACTTGGTACAAAATGTGGCTCTCAATGGTGTTTATGATAAGAAAAGTGGCCTCATTTCAGCAATGGAATGGTTGGTTATTAAAACTGGTGTTAGCTAAGTCCTGTCATGTCATGTGTGAAGAGGCATGGGGGCTCCCAGTGGGTTTTATTTCAAAGTTAGTGGGATGAAATTACTTTCTTGGCAGCAGGACATTGGTTTTTGTTTTTTGTTTTTTTAAAGATTTTATTTATTTATTGGAAAGTCAGATATACAGAGAGAAGCAGAGACAGAGAGGAAGCTCTTCTGTCCAATGATTCACTCCCCAAGTGAGCGCAACGGCCGATGCTATGCCAATCCGAAGCCAGGACCCAGGAACCTCTTCCAGGTCTCCCACACAGGTGCAGGGTCCCAAAGCTTTGGGCTGTCCTCGACTGCCTTCCCAGGCCAAAGCAGGGAGCTGGATGGGAAGTAGAGCTGCCGGGATTAGAGCCGGCGTCCATATGGGATCCTGGAGCGTTCAAGGCGAGGACTTTAGCCGCTAGGCCAAGCCGCCGGGCCCAGGACATTGGTTTTTATGGTATAGAGATGAAAAAGTGTATCTCTCTGAAATCCACTGCCTGGATTTGAATCCTGAATGTGACATGTAGAAATGTAAGTTCATGTTGAGGGAAGTTAGCTATTTTGGACCTCACTTTTCCTAACTGTAAAACTGAAATTACAGTGGCAATTTTATCTCCGGGTTATCATGTGGATTAAGTTCATTAATATCTAACAAAATCTGACAATAATTATTGGCTATCATTTTTTCCTACTTAAAGAATAATTTTCCACAAAGCTTAAAATGCCTACACTTGATATCATTTCATTGTGAGCAGCACAGGATTGGTGACTTTTCTCCCTTAACTTTATCTCTTAATCTTCCTTATCTCAGTGAAAAACATGCTATCTATCTATTGGATGAATACATAAGCATATACAAATTAGCTGTAACTGCTGCCTTTCTTGTAACTCTCAAATGCAATCCATTTCCAATACCCAATGAGTATCTCCCAAATACATTGAAAATCTTCCAGTATTTCTTCTGTCTCTGATTACTCAAGTTTAATCATTGTTTGCCTGGAATTCCACATGAGCTTCCTAATTGGCCTTCGTGCTTTTCTTACTACCTTTTCTAATACATTTTCTCAATTCTGAAAATACAAATTTAGATTGCTGCTGCCTAGGAATCCTCCTAGGGTTTCCTTTTTATTTTAGAGGAGAATTCTAATTGCTTATGCAGACCCACAAGGCACATAAAGCCATTCAATAGCTGGGATTTACCAACCTTTCCATTCACAGGTCATGCAAAATTATTAATTTCAAATTATTCTTCTATGGGCCCAGCTTGATGGCTCAGTGGATAAATCCTCACCTTGCACAAGCCAGGATCCCATATGGGCACCAGTTCATGTCCCAGCTGCTCCACTTCCCTTTCAGCTCCTTGCTTGTTGCCTGGAAAAGCATTAGAGGATGGTTCAACACCTTGGGACCTTGCACCCAGGTGGGAGACCCTAAGGAGGCTCCTGGATCCAGGCATTGGATTGGCTTAGCTTTGACTGTTGCAGTCATTTGGGGAGTGAACCAGCAGATGAAAGATCTTTTTTTCTGCCTCTCCTTTTCTCTGTGGATCTGCCTTTGCAATTAAAACAGACAAATCTTTTTTTTAAAATTAGTCTGCTATAGAATTATTCAATTTCAAATCCCATCTGAGGTTGTCTTGGCAGAGACAGACCATATGATTTCACAGATCTTATACAGTCCATGGGTGAGCCATTACCCATGGCTGTTTTCTGGAAATGCGTAGGCTGTCTAAAACACTAAAATAATGAAATGTTTTATAGAATGATATTTGAGCTATTCCTGGAATATGAACAAAGGTTAGGAAAGGAGAATGGCGCTTCAGAAAAAGGAAGGTGTTTCTCAAACACTGAAGGAAGGGGACATGAACAATGAGACTGCATACATTGATTTTGTTGACCATTTGGAGTGGTAGCAGGAATTATAGTTAAGAGCTTGATGCTTGATAATTCAGAGCTAGGCATCCAGGAAGAAGGAAAGGGAAACAATTTGAGCAGCTTAAGTGGATCACCATGAACAAGTCGGAGTTTCAGAATACGATTACTATAGAAAAAGAGAGCAGATACAAAGATACATAGTATGATGTTATTTTACTAGTTTGGGTTGAGGCTGGCACCATGGTATAGAAGGTAAGACTTCACCTGTAGTGCCAGCATTCCTTTTGGGAACCAGTTCAAATCCTGGCTGCTTCACTTCTAATCTATCTCCCTGCTAATGTGCCTGGTAAAACAGTGAGTGATGGCACAAATTCTTGGGACCCTGCATCCACATGGGAGACCTGGACGAAACTTTAGGTTCCTGGCTTCAGACTGGCTTGCCTCTGGACACTACACATTTGGGGAGCGAATCAGCAGATAGGAGATTTCTGTTTCTCTTTGTCTCTCTTGTTCTTTGTAACTTTGGCTTTTAAATATAAATTTTTTAAATCTTCCAAAAAAGACACAAAAAATTTAAAGTGCGTATAGAATAGGCTGTGGAAGAAACAGTCCCAAATTTAAATCCTAGGTATGTTACTTTCAGTGGCATGATATAGTCAGTTATGCAATCTGTGCCTCAATGTTTTAATCTGTAGGATGGGGGTAGCAATATCTACCTTAAGGAGTTAAAATACTTCAATGAGATAATACAACTGAATTTTTAGTGTGACGTTAAATACAATGTGATTGTTTACAAAGAACAGCTGTTCTTATCACCACTACCACCACCACCACCATCATCACTCTCATCATAACTCTTTCAGCTTAGCAAAGTATTTACCACCCAGGAAATACTTGATACAAATACTTGACTGGACAAATGAAGTAGAGCAAAAAATCCAGGTAAGTTATGGTCAATTTTCCTTAACTGTTTAAACAACATATATATTAGTGATATGGAAATATATAAGCAACAGCTAAGTCTTCAGTAGAGAAACCTAAGCATATATAAGATGCTTCATTTGAAATGACATGTGTAATAAAAGTAGAATTGATCAGAGGAGTAGGTGACAGAATTGCCTTGTTTGTGTGCGTACACATTCCTCAATAGCTTCGATTTGATTTTGAAAATGCATCATGATTAGCTCCTGTGAATTTATTTGCCATGCATGTTCATATATCATCGTATTAAAAGATTTTCACGTAATTTTTTAACTTAAGCTATTTGTGTGAGTGGCAGTTTTCAGATCATGGGGCTGCTTTAATTAGAATGAATTACTGGCTTTTTCTGCTACTCTCTTTGGCAAGCATGTATTATTACACATCTTCCATTACAATGTTTTCCTTCATTTTATGTTTCTTTATTTGGGGAGAACTTCAGAACAGAGATAATTATATACTACTACATAAAGCAATCCCTCCAAATGTCCATGATGTCACCTCTGTCTGTAAAATAGGAAGGGAGGAGAGGTGTTAACATGGCTGTGTCTGGAACAGTGTTAATTCAACTCAGCATACGGCAGGTGCCTTGTGACCCAAAAATGAATTCACCAATTTTTAAAAATGTCATTGTCAGGGCCAGCACAATAGCTGGGTGGCTAAATCCTTGCCTTCCTTTGGCCAGGATCCCATGTAAACACTGGTTCATGTCCACTTTCCATTCAGCTCCCTGCTTGTGGCCTGGGAAAGCAGTGGAGGATGGCCCAAAGCCTGCACCCAACTGGGAGACCTGGAAGAAGCTCCTGGCTCCTGGCTCCTGGCTCTGGATTGGCGCTGTTCCTGCCATTGTAATCACTTGGAGATGAACCAGCAGATGATTTCTCTGTTTCTCCTCCTCTCTGTAAATCTGCCTTTGCATAAAAATAAATTAATTAAAAAAAAGAAAAATGTTATTGTACCAAGGATTGGATAATATTGCCACTTTAAATTGAGGCCCAGCCATTTAAAAAAAAAAGTCTATAATTTTTTGAAAGAAGAATACAAAATTGAACAAAAAGAAAGTCTGGCCTCATTTTGGCTTTTAAACCCCCCCCCCTGTATTACATACTTTCTAAGTTCCCATCTAGTTGGATAGTCTGTGATGTCTGCAAAATCTACCAAAGCTATTGATGTTTTAATTCTTTTTCTGTATTTGTATTATTGTTACTATTTTCTATGATATGGTTTTATAGGTTTAGGGATTCCTTTCTCCCCTTACTCCCTCCACGTCTATGTCTCCTCCCACATCATCCCTCCCCCTTTATTTTTACGATAGTATAGTCCTTCAGCAACAGCCACAAGTACAATAATCTTCTATTTAAGTGTATCATGGCACCATAATACAGGCAATTGTAGAAAATCTGGTATGATACTGTGAAGGTATATTTAACAGTTTCATTGGGAATCCTCCTTTGATTTGGGACTAGAGATACGTAATGCAATGTATCTTCACTTCCAGGTGTGCTAGTCTCCCTTATACAGTTCCTCTGGATAAATGTATGTATATACTTGTTTACCTATATATCTATTTGTTTTGTATTTTGCATGAAGGTTGCCTTATATCAAGAAAACATATGGTATTTGTCCTTTCAGGATTGACTTATTTCACTGAATATGATGGTCCCAGTTGGTGCCACCTTGTTGCAAGTGGTAATGGCTATGTAGTATTCCATGGAATACATGTACCGCAGTTTCTTTATCCATTTCTCTTTCAATGGGCACCTAGGTTGTCTCTATGTCTTTGTTGTTGTAGATTGTGCTGCTATAAATATAGCATTGCAGGTCACTTTATCATGTGCAGATTTCACTTCCTTTAGCTGTATTCCCAGTAGTGGGATGGCTGGGTCATACAGTAGGTCAATTTTCAGTTTTCTGAGCATTCTGCATGCTGACTTCCATAGTGGTTGCACTAGTCTGCACTAGTACCGACAGTGGAATAGGGCACTCCTATCCCCATAGCCACATCAACCAGTGTTAGTAAAGTTCTGAATGTGGCCTTTCTCGCTGGAGTTAGGTGGTAGCTCAATGTGGTGAGTTTTGTTTTGTTTTGAATTCTAAGGAGTCTGAGCATTTTTTTGTGTGTCTATTAGCCATTTGAATTTGTTCTTTTGAATAATGCCTGGTCATTTCCTCCATCACTTCTTAATACATTTTGGCTTTTAATGTTTCAAAAAGAAGTTTTGGTTTCAAAGCAATCTTGTGGCATGTTCAATTTTAAATACATTGAAATAAACATTCAAGGTTGTTTTGTAAGGATGAGGTTTCAATCATGGTTTGGGAAAATAATCTAATCATTTCTGTTTCCCAAGACTGCATAACTATGTGCCCATAGCATCTTTTAAAAAAGAAAAAAACTGTTATTCCTGTAAACCAGCGAATGAATAGTCTAACGTCTTTCCCATGTGTTGATGGCTTAGAGGAAGGTCATTCGTTCTGGTGCTCACTCAGCCATCACCGTGTTCCCAGAAGTCAGGGAAGTGAGCTGCTGTGGGTCACGCACCACAATTCCCTGTTCTTCATTCTGGTGAAAGAGTTAAGAGGTGGCAGCTGGCAGTGACCGCATGTGTTTGCAAAAGTGAGGATGTTCAGATAAGAGGAGGAAGTGCAGTGGCAGAGAAGGGTGGGCAGTGACTGGGAAGCAAAGGCCACTTAGGGAACGTTCTGCTGTTAGCCAATTTACCAGAATATTCTTGAAGGGAAGACAGCATTACATGTGAAAAAGATTTTTCAAGTTTTATTTCCTTTGTTTGATCTACAAGAATTGTAAGAATTTTACATAATACAACGTGATATTTCAGAGTTTTCATACAATAAATGCTGATCAAATCAGGGTAATAAGCATATTGATTATAGTTCATGTTTACCATTTCTTTATGGCACACACATTGAAAATTTTGAAATATACAATATAGTATCATTAACTAAGGGCATCCTTAGGAGCAACAGAAGGCCAGAGCTTGTTCCTCCTAAGGTGCTGTCACATGAAACCTCCTGACCAACTTCTCTCCATTCCTGCCTGTCCTCTCTTTTCCCCAACCTTGGGTAACCACTATTCTACTCTCAACTTTATTAAGAAAGCTGATCTTATGTGGAAAGATGAGACAGTCTGTGTGTCCCCCCAAATCTATCTTCCCCAGTATTGCCAGAATGAACAGAGACTTGCTCATGCCGATATCTTGTCTCAAAATCCTTTAATCACTGCCCTTGTTGCCCTATAACAGAGATGAGCAAACCCGGTGAGTCCAATTTGGCTGAAGGCTGTTTTGTACAGGTGGTGAGTTACACATGATTTATGCATTTTTAAAGCGTTGGTAACACAATCCAAAAGAATGCTGTTTCATGGCTTATGAAAGCCGTATGGAATTAGCATTTCAATGTCCACAAATGAAGTTTTGTCTAGCCTCACGCATTCATTTTCTTATTGTCTGTGGCTGCGCTGTACTACAAAGGCAGACTGGGTGAAAATTTAATGGTTTTCTAAATCTAAAGTGATTGTTGTCTTTTACATAAGTTTACTTTGGTCTCTAAGATAAAATCCTTTGCTCGCTGACTCTTACTTTTTTATGTAATGTAAAGAGTGGCCTAGACTTTGTCAGCACCATGCTGACAAAAATTATGGAATGGCCTCCCCATGAGCCCTGTTCACTTCTAACCATCCAGCCTTTAAAATACTGCCGTAGGACCTAGCACAATGACCCAGTGGTTGAATCCTCACATTGCAAGTGCCAGGATCCCATACGGGTGCCAGTTTGTGTCCCAGCTGCCCCCCTTCCCATCCAGCTCCATGCTTGTAGCCTGGGAAAGCAGTGGAAGATGACCCAAAGTCTTGGGCCCCTGCACTCCTATGGAGGAAGCTCCTGGCTCCTGGCTTTGGATCAGCTCAGCTCCAGCCATTGCAGTCACCTGGGAGTGAACCAGTGCCTAGATCTTGAAGCAGTCAACCTCTGGAACCTGGAGAAAGTAAATTCCTGCTCATCGTAAATCACCTCGTTTCAAACATTTTGCTGTCACATTGGGAATAGACAGAAAATTCTATAACCAGTAATGATAAAAACAAAACAAAGCAACATGAGACTTATTTTTGAGAGAAAAATATTTATTCACACAATGAAAAGTGAAAGTTAAATGTGTTCTTCCTCGGCAACTTTCTCAATAAAAATATGGTAGAATCAATTGGTACCTCTGATTTTTCTTCCATGTGATGGCATTTTAGACCTTGAATAATTATATCAGTTACATCTTATGTGTCAATATCTTTTTTTGTGAAAAATAAGAAATGCAGATACATATATGCAGATATATTCAAACATAGCACGAATAAACCAGTTGGATCTCCATTAGAATTATCAGATTTTTCCAAAAGCTACAATCAGAAATATAGCTGAACATAAAACTTTTCCACCTTCGTCTCTTTCCCCAGCCCCTGCACCCCCCTCTTTTTTGGGGGGTTATTTTCTGTGTCAAGTTCACGGTGGATATGGGATTTAGCTTAACTGTGCCTTGAACTTTGGCTGCTTTACTACAACATTAGGGTTGCTTTCCTTTTCAACCCTCTAGCAAATGCAAGTTTCAATAAATCGTAGGGAGTTTTTGTTGCTACCAGTCACAGCTCTAGTTATCTTAAAGAAAAATTAGAGAGATCATCTAACTCCAACCGTAAAGGAATGCTCAATGGGCAAAAAAAAAAAAATCCAAGGACTTGTGTCTGAGCTCAGAGCAAAACACCCTGGAGTATGGCACTCTTGCTGTGGTGTGCTGAGTATTTCCCACAGCAGGACATAGTAAGGTTCCCTGCCCCACAAGCTTGCTGTTTGTTTGTTTGTTTGTTTGTTTGTTTTTAAGGTAATGTGCTTCCCTGCACTATGTGCTGGTTTGGCAGAGCACTGTGGTAGGAGTAACATGTAGCACAACAAGAAAACTGATGA